CCCCCCCCCCCCGGTCATATAATACGAAACATACCCCCAAAATATAAATAATACTTAAATTTCCTTGATTTGCGCACTTCTCGCTTGTGCACCAAACCATATCGAAGTGAGAGTCCTTCCTAACTAAATTCGACGTTCTGAACGCGCCGGCGAGGTTCGTTTCGTCATCTGGGGTCGCCCGGACGACTTCGTCGACGGTCAGGTCGAAAATGCATCAAAAATTGAATTACTTTAAAATGTCTCCCGTGAATTATCGTAGAGTCTCTTACGAGTGCAGGTGACGTGAATCTTGATAATTGTGTGTGTCGCTGTGTGCACTGTGGTATTCGTACATCGTGCAAGTGTGTGGAGATCGCAATGGGTTTTCCTATGGTTTCAGATCCTAAGGGCACTCGACTCGAGTTTCATCGCGTTGGTTCTAATCGACTCAACTAAGCGTTGAGGATTTTTGAACGAGGATTTTAGAACAAGCCACATGAAATTGCGAGGAGCCAAGAAGTGACTTGAAATTCTAATCAGTGTGGGCCCCATGTTGGTTCTCTAAGAGAGTCGGTATGAAACCCTAAGGCTAGATACCAGGGCCCAAGAAGAGGAAGAAGGAAGAGACCTCACTGTCTCTCACCAAAAATGAGGGCAACGGTCTCTCCCGGGTTGTGTGAACTGATAAACAGCACAAAAGACGCTCTAAAAGGATTCAATACAAATAATTAGAAAGATTTCTTGCAAATGCATTCAATCCATTTGTCAAATGTATGAATTATTTAGTTTGAAGGAATTGGTTCAAAATTTTCAAACTATTGCTAATTCTAAATGTTTACTATAATTGGAAAAGGTTTGTTCGTATATATTGAATTTGCATATAATGTTAATTGTTTAAAAAAAAGTTTATTCACCATTTTTTACTTTTAAATTATCCTTAGTGCAAGTTTTAATCTTGGAGAAGTATTAATCTGAACGGTGTAGAAGATTTTTTTTTAAAAAAAAGGATAGACCACATGTTAAGTGCTCAAAAGTTGTGCAAAAGGATACAAAATAGTTATAAAATTTCATGCAAACAATCAATAAGAATAAATAGAGAACAAAGACTCAAAAAGTTTGCTCCAAAATAATTTCATAATGCTAATGATAATGATAATGATGACGGTAGCTTCAAGATACAATTTAATTGAAGACTATAAGCAAAATAAAAAGGCATGAGATTGGGAAATACGTAAAAATTCAAAATATATTTATACTTAAGCTTATGAAAATGCACGCAAGATAATTTTAGACAACAAAATTTCAAATAAGAAGTATCACCAAAGTACTCACAAGCTAACATAGAAAGTAAAGATACAACAAACTAAATAAGATGATCAAAACAAATACTACTACAGATTACTCTCATCTATTCATCAAATATAGACAAAAGATGACAAGCAAAGAGAAAATAAACAGAAGTTAAAAAAGATGGAAATTACTAAATTTACAAAAGCATGACAGCTCGAAGGAATACAAAATCAGCAAAAATGAATCAAATATTGCAAAATGCAAAGAAGAGAAATAAATTAATGATCAGCAAAAGCAAAAGTAATGCAGAGACTGCAACAGAAACTCAAAAACTGTATAATTAATCGTTATAGGTCCTTCGTAGAAGAAAAGAACACATTTTTCTCTGTCATCATAGACAAATAAAACAAGAAACAATAATACGCAGTGGAAACAATCTCAAAATGTTAAATAACAATAGTGAAAAAAGAAGAATTAGACATACATAAAGGGCGCTTATGGAGAAAAAGAATATGAATAAATTCAGGGTGTAAAAGATGCGAGACACCAAAGATTTGGAAGAGAAATAAATACTAAAAGAGAGCAGGAAGAGCATTTTCTACTATCATCTTCTCAAATGGATATATTCATAAAAACAGAACTAATAAAAACCCAATAAGTCAATCATAAATTTATGAATACAAAAAAAAGACATGGATAAGGAAAATATATAAATGCATGTCTGCACATATGTTTCAGTATGAGTTTGCATATATGTTGATATGGGATGTAGGATCAAAAAGATTTCGCCTACTTGGGTTGAATCCACAGTAAAGGAATACAAAACAATATTTTCAAGAACTTGGAAGCAAATCGATCGGACAAAAGGCCATTCAATGCCAATTCACTATCCATCAATGGCACTGGTTGGCTAACATGCATGCTACCTCTTATTCCGATACCTAAAACTACTAAAAGGATACAAAAAATTACAACAAGTAACAGAGCATATAAAAAATATGCAAAGTTCTATGTATGAATTTCAATAGGTTGAGGGAAAATCTCCAAACATAAAGCCTCTTGGTGCATGATGTAAAAGATCATATGATCTTAACTTTCAGGTCACCACATATGTCAGAAAAAGAGAAAAATTTTGACATAGAAACAGGGTTATAGTATTAGCATAAAACTAGTGGATGTTTCGTAGTAAAAATTTGCTAAAAGAAAGAATAATTGAGTGCTGGCAACTCCTGTAGCTCTTTTGTTTAAAGTTGCAATAATATGATGTGCACCTAGAGCCTTTTCACAAAAAATCGCAATGAGACTCATCCCTTAGTATCCCAAATTGAGACATGCTTCGTCTTGGTTTTTGAATATAATTAAAAAATAATTTCAATATTCCCCACCAAATAATGCTCACGCCTCAATAACTAGACAGAAAGAAATAAACATAAATATTTTTCACAAAACTTTATGAAGTTGAAGTTCTAACCATCAATGTAAAAAACACATAATTAGTATACAATTGAGGATGAGGCAAGGGTTATATTAATGATTCTAATGAATGCCCATTAAATGATGAGACAAATAGAGACAAATAGAGACTTTCAGATTTAAAAAAATAATCTTGATGGCTTATTATATTCTAACTAAAGTGAAGGATAATGAGAGTAGGAGAGAGACTTACTTTGAATTTATTTTAGCTTATTATCTTATCAAGTTTTAATATTTTACTTGATATCTTAGCTTATTTTGATATTTTGATGTTTATATAACCCATCTTATTTCATGGTTTAATGTCATGGTTTTAAATATTATTTTTTTACTTTATGCAATTTGTCACTTCTTATTTTATTAAAATATTAATATAGTATTTTTAATATGTTGCTTCTAATTTGATACTTTGAGGTTTATGCAATACTTCTTCTAAATTTTGAAATTTAAGACTTACGCCTTAAAAAGTCCAAGGAGTTACGCCTCACTTCACAAATGAAAAATATCTCAATATCTAATTGTGCAATTTTAAACCTAGCGTAGCTCTATATGTGCAATGCGGCAGTACAAACGGGCACTGCTAAGTCCACCACCAGATTGACCAATTATTTATTTTTGTGTACTCCAATCGGAAAGGGTGCATAGTGCTACAGTCAAGCATTCCTCAAATATAGCTATGTATGTAGGCCGCATCTAATAATTTAAAAAATTATTGGATATGGATTATGTGCATAGTTCAGCATGGCAGAGAAGAGAGGGCACAATTGAATGCTAACTATGTAGTAATCAGTTTGGTTGGAATGCACAGTTGCCAAATGATTGTGTACTCGTCCCTTGTACACTTATGAGTGTGAGCAGAAAAATTGAAAGTTGCAAAGCACTAACAAATGAGTATGTTAACAAAACTTTAAAGCTGCGCTGCCAAATAAATAGAGCAAGTCCCTCCAATTCTTACCAGGAATCTTTACTTCAAGAGCAGAATTCCTGCATAGATCAACAATGTTCCGCTTATCTGCCACCGTGACTAGAAGATTCAAAACATCATCCATCACAAAATATTCGAACAATCCAAACGCAGCAAGCACATGCAGAAAAACCATCACCACAACAGCATTATCCTTTTTCCCATTCTTAATCAAATCGTCGCACTTTTTGGCCACCTGCCTCGCCCTCTCCTTGTCGGAAGGCTTAACTTCCAACTTCAATCCATGAAAGCACTCCAGGATAGTCAAATAAGCCCTCCAGATCGCCTGAACACCATTTTCCATCATTTCGCTAGATCCATCTAAGTCCTCGTATGCATCTAGTACCAGCGTAACGGGATCCGGCGAGTACAGAAGGGCGGGACCGAGTTCTCTACGTATCGCCTCAATGCCTGTCCAATGCCCAATAATGTACGCTTGCAGACCCTTTGCCTCCATCTTGACACAGAAAGACTTCAGCTCCGGACAAGGTTCAATCACCGGCTTATCGTGTTCTACCTGGACATTCGCTGATGAAACAGTGGCAGTGGGCTTCTCTGTCGGCCCCCTTGACTTGATTTCCTGGAATCTCTTGTCGATGGACTTCTCAATGGAGGAGAAATGGTCATCGATATTCTTCCACTGCAGAGTGAACGAGGGGAGGAACGAAGAACATGATTGTAGCTCCTCAAAGGCCTTACGCAGATCCTCCTTCTTTGCAGGGATGGAATTGATTGCTGCTTGGATATCGGCGGTGGTGTCCATCTCTACGGCAAAGCCTCTAAAGGGAACAGAAAATGCTGAGCAATCACCCTTCCGGACAGCGAAACCCTAACCCTTGGTACTATGAGAGAGCGCAGAGACGAATGGCGAATAACTTCACTCTGCGACGTCGCGGTGCGATTTTTTTTTTTCCTATGCTTCAGCTCACAGAATTTATGTGCTATTATATTTTAGAAACATTTACATAAGTACCGCTTAATTTCTATGTATTACATAATTAACATCTAAATTTTATTTGTTTATACATATACCACTTACCCTTGTATAAAAGGATGTATTTCAATTTTTAAAGTTAAAATAATAATATTTTAAAATTTATATGAAAATTTTGTTTGAACATATTTTGATCTTAAAATCTTCAGAGAGCATAAACCCGAACGAACTTGCCATTAGATTTTCATGTTCTTTCATAAGCTACAACAAGTTAACTTTACTCACTTTATAGAAATAACTTATTTAGCCTTGTTATGTAATTTTATTTCCATTCTACATTTTCTATAGCATTTTGCCTAAATTCAAATCTATTAATATTAATATGTGATCAAAAAAATAGTGAGGATCTTCAATCAATCAATCTTGTACTTTTTGAAAATATAATAAACTATCAATATTGTTTTACTTTTAACTCTTTGTTGGCATTAGTTCTTGATGTCACATAAGTGGGATGTCCGTTTAAGAGATGTCCGTTTAAAAATAAAGAGCTATGCTTGGTTTCTACTCATCCAAGGAGTCATATCGGACCTCGTTGTACGTGTCACGAGCACAAAACCAGAACCAGGTACCGATTTGGCCCCGCATGGGAAAATTCATCGTGAGATAGCGCTGGCCCTAACTTTGAGTGTGTTTTACGTCCATTTTGATGTTGAGAGACGCAATGATGCATCGAGAATAAGTCTTCTAAGGCCAAGGGTGGACGTCAAGATCTCCCACGCATATTTAGGGAAATTTTGGGCTTGGATTAATTTTTACTCCCGTGGGGGTCCGGGACGCCTGTCGGCATCCAACACCCCACTCCATTCGAAACTCAAACTCTTACTTTTGAGTTATGAAGCCGTATTCCAGCAATGTGTGACTTTTCGTGGTTTCAAATCGGCGAGAACCTTCCTACGGTCATCCAGCAAAACTTAGGGTTTGGGACTCCCTGCTTGCGTCATGGTTTGGAATGCTCATTGTCGACAAATTCCCCATTGAATGACCATTAAAAATATTTGTTCTTGAAGTTATGAGGTTATATTTCAGTCACATGTAGTCCTCGTAGCTTTCGGATCGAGAAAGTTCTCTATCGGACGCTCCCGAAGTAAATTAGTGTTTTTGAGTTGGGGCCATGGAAGTCTGGCACCAGTTTCTGGAGCCTAGGTGTCATACTAGGCACCTAGGTGCCCAAAAATGCTTAAAACAACATATTTTTTCAAAAGGCGGGAAAGTAGTCGCCACCCTTGTGGGTCCTAGGTGCCAGTGTCTTAGCATCAGAGCACTAGATTGGGCGCCTAGGAGCCAGGGCAGCGGCACTTAGTCACACGTTCATTTCCAGATCGCAAAAAAAAAAAAATCTCATTTTTGACGCAAATTTGACTCTAGTGCACCCCCAATGAGCCGAAATTCCAGGGATCTCCTTATGCTTGAAGAGATATGCATGAGGGGATGTAATGGTTGTGAGTTTGGCCTCATTTGGAAGGTCATAAGTACCCCCATTAGCCCATTTTTTGCATAAAATAAGAGGCAAGTTGGGGATTTTCTTGGGCGAGTTGGTTTTAACCTAGAAAATCCTCATTTCTTCCCCATCTCCACTTCATTTTAATTTTGGGTTGAGAGAGAGTCCTTGTAGAAAGAATTTGGAGAGAGTGAGAGATTCCTCTTCATCTTCTTAGATTTTTCTTGAAGCTTGGAGCAAGGTTATCTAGGGGAAGGTTTCTTCTTACTCCTCGAGAAGAGGGAAAGCTAAGAAGCTTGTGATCTTTTAATTTCTCTCTTTTTCTTTTCTTCTCCTTCTTTTCTGGGCTTCGTCTCCCTCTCCGATGAACAATCAGAGAAAAGGGATAAGTTTCCTTCCACCCTTTTCTGCTTTGCACCCTACTCCTCAACACCTTGCTCCATAACACCTTACTCCACCACACCCCATTCCACAGCACCCACTCCCCCTGGGACAATTTGCTCAGTTGAGTCAGCACCATCAGCATAACCGACATTGGTGACACATAATCTATATTCAATACTTATGTCATTGAACCAGAAATAATTCAAGCTACATACCCAAAATTTATCCACATTCATATGTGGTTTAGGAAAAAACAACCTCACTAGCTTTCCCTTATCTTCCACCCTCAAAGGAAAAGACACACTTTGTCGGTCAAAGCCATGTCTCAGCTTCGACTGATGCCTCCTCAAGTCCTCCTTAGGGAACCATAGCCCCTGCAAAAACCCAAATAAACATTCTTTCTCCCCCGGTAGGAACACTCATTTTCAATGTGTGTCTTGTAAAGTGAATGTCAGAAAGTCTTTTCAGTCTGCTCCGCAACTCTCTCCTGCAATGAGCCCTCAAGGAAACCTGAAGATCAGGCTCGCTCCTCAGTTCTCGGTTTTAGCACAACCCTCTTCTTACTCATTTACCCATGCTCGTTAGCTTCCGCTTCGTGTCTAGTTTGTCGGCTTTTGCCCACATGTCACTCATGGCCTTTGTTCACATGTCTCGGTTGGCAAATGATGCTCATTTGCCAGACATAGTAGCAATACGAAAGGAAAATATGTGAATTCTAAGGAGTAAGAAGGAAAGGAAAAAAACAAATACTTTCCATTTCCCATGGTTTATTTATAGAAACCTAGACATGAAAATATAGAAAAGTTCGTTATTGTGCAATGATGACATTCAATTATTTCTTACACGTTAAAAATATTCTTTTGTCATTATGTGTTTTGCAGCTTCCAACGATCAAAAAAATCGGGGAACTAAATATATAAAAAAAATATGCCAACACGGATCTCAAGGCCGAACAAACGACTCAGAAGGACGATGTGATCGATCGACATTCCTGTTAGCGATCAACAGATTAGTGCTAACAATGGAGGCGTTTTGATTGATCGATCGTGAGGACGTGTCAGAGGATTTCCCACTGGATGACAATCAAGCTTTAGACAGATCAGTAGATTTTTGAGTTTCAGATCAAATATCAATGGAGTTAAGGTCAAGCAAATGGCCGACGAGCTTCTCGCCGATCGGCATCTATCTGTCAGTCTTATTATACTCAAATATCTTTGTAATTGCTAAAAAAATTCCTATAAAAGCTAATAATAGAGGGACCGACCTGTAATTTTATAAGACTGAGGCATATCCCTATAAATAGGGGGGCCCGTACCGTGAATAGGTTTACTCATTCTTGTGATTTTCAACTACACTCACTCTTTCTTAACTCTCTCTACATAATGTTTTATATCTTGGTTATGTTTAACAGACACTTTTGGATTATATATATATATATATATAAAGATTAAACATCAATTTTAATTTTATAAATTAATAACTAATAAATTGAGAATTTATTGAATATTTTAATTTTATTATAATATAATATTTGGATAATATTCTAATAAATGAATGTAGTTGGTTGTTATAAATATATTAAATCTAGGTATGATGTATGCAACGATGCCAAGATATTAATTAGTCTTATATAATCTGTTTACTAACCTAGAGCCCCCACTCTGGTGTCAGCTTTGACAACAATTACTTGTTAACTCACAGATTTCAGAACATAAAATGTCATAAATAAATAAAATATTTTATGGTTCAATAAATATTCAGTGGGGACCACTTCAAGCTAGGGTCACGTAAAGCAATTGCATGCGATGAACCTTCTTTCCCATTGCCCATGCCAACCAAGAACCAACCACCAAGAACACTTTTAATCTATAAACTCGTATATTCCTATGCCAAGTGAATCTAATCTATCGAGTGATTATGGTCGAACGTGATTGTAGTCTGCCAACAATGATTAGGTGATGGTTCGGTAATAATGATCGAACTATGATGTTTGCGGGGATGAAATCGATCGAACGATAATAATTTCTTTCATATCTCAAACTCGTCTTTTCTATTTTTTTTTTGCCAATTTCTTGAGGTTTAGAAAAAAAAATTCCACGAGCGACTAAGAAATTAACATAGTTTAGTTAAATTAGACAAATAGTAAAAACAACGTCAATTGAAATTAAGGTTTGATTTTTTTGTATTACAGTCCATCACATGGTGTTCAAAAGTTATAGTAATTAAAGGCACTCGTTTGACAAGTGAGGTCTCAATATTTTATATCAAGAATGCGTTAGTTCGGATCCTGATGTGATACAACTGTCCATAAGAAAAGAAGTACAACAAAGGAAGGGCAAACCAACAAAAGACCAAGATGCTCACTTATACACTTGAATGTAGCTAGCTGAACCAAAGATAAAGACTAATTGAGACATTAAAATGACAAAAAGAACGACCCCCCGAGTTCGAACAAATCAGATTAGTGGAAGACGGATTAACATCAAGGCTAACCAACACTGGAAAACCAAGTGAAGGCATCAACCTACCACTTGGTACATTCGACCCGAGGAAATTAAGAATCCAATTCTTCACCATCACCAACCATCCCATGAATGCCCCTGATGTTTCTCATTAGGGACAAAGAATTGGCAATACAACAGAGTCTCACGGTCATCCTAAGTGGCCTCCACTTTAAAGAATGAGCCATCTATTGGGTTGCGGTAATTCATCCTCTGTTTGAAATCCTATTCTCGTTCTACCGACAAAAGCCCCCTCAACTAGGGATTGAGGGTTGATAGCTAGACTAGATCAACTGATCGACAAAACCTAGCATACCGAGTTAGTCCTGCTGACTCGAAGCTAATGAAGCCCTATCGACCTATTGCATCGACTTAGCCTAGCCAAACGAACCAACCATATCCAGTCAAAGTCATGCTAGCCTAGCAGACCGAGTCATAGGGCAGCATAGCAATATGTTCATACATGTAAAATATATAGAATATCTTATATAGCTCCCATTGTGGTACGGGCAAAAAGGTAATATCACCTAATGTGCTCTCTCTACTATAAATATAGAGAATATTTTATAAGAAAAGGCTAATTGACAACTT